TCTTTCCTTTCTCTCATCCTTATTTTATACTTGTTTATTTCATTGAGGACAATGTGCGTCTTAAGTGTGGGGGATGGATTCATTTACTTGTGTCTTTTCTTATTTGTCATTTACTTATTTTCTTATTTAAAAGACAAAAAATTAAAATACATGTTTTTTCTCTGGTTTTTGGGATTGCATGTTTGAGTCATTTTTTTTATTGACTAAAGACTTATGGTGTGATGTGAGTGATTTTTTTTTCTTTCTTCGTATAATGAGTAGGATTAAATTCTAAATTGTGCATCATTTGTGGTTGATCAATGTCCTTTGTGAGATTGAGTCTTATAATGGATAACATACAAAAATTCACTTCTTTCTTCTTTCTTGTGTGATTTCACTCGTGTTTGTTTCTAGAACTTGAATTGACTCTTTGTTTAAACTTTTTGTTTACTTGTGCACACTGATATGATAAAGGAAATTTTGTGTTTGTTTTATTTTCATTCACTTTAGCAACAAATAAAAATCAACCCTGAAATTATCATCCTTTATTTGAAACTCTTTAAGCCTATTTATTCCAATTTTTGTTTATAACTTATTACAAGCCTAAAAGTGAAAAACAATGTTATGATCCTATTTAAAGGGGTGAATGGGTAATGTTTAAAGTTGTGTGTGTGTGTGTGGGAGGGGGGGGGGGTGTTGAATTAATATAATTGTGATATTTCAAAAGTTGGCAGAAAATAAAAAAAAATATAGAAAAAGAAAAGAAAATAAGAAAGAAAATGCATATTATTATTCCTTTTGAAAAAAAAAGAAAAGGAAAAAGAAAAGAAAAAGAGAAAAGAAAAGAGAAAAACATGATCGTCGTTCTTGTTTGAAAGTGAATGAAATTGCGTTTGGTTCAACTCACGCAATATTTTTCAATTCTCTTTTGTCCCTTTAATCCTAGTACCCTTTAGAATTTATCTCACCCTTACTTTGACCATGTTACAACTCGAATAAAGTCCTTTTGATTTTTGTGTGTGCGTGTGTATATTTTAAATGTGGATGTTATAGTCATTTCAAGCTTATGATAATGCTAACTTTGATGATGTGAATTGAGTGTAAACATATAACCTAAACACTTGAAAGTTGAGAGAATTTTTATCATGTGAAGATCTTACTACTTATGAAGTACTATTTGGTAAAATATCCTCTAATTTGTTTTGATTGTCACAAGAAGTCACTCACTAATGCCATATTCCTTGAAGCTTATAATGAGAATTTTGCCTACCCCTCTGTGATCTCGGAAGTCTTTGAAATTGCATGTTCAATTTTTTATCGTTTTTATTCTGTTTTGAATTGTGACTATAGAATTTTACTCGGAGTGCAAAACTTTAAGTGTGGGAAAATTTGATTTGTATATTTTAATACACCACATTTTACGTTCCGTTAAGGGAATTATATGACTTGTTGCTTTTATTTTATTGCTTTTAGTGTGTTTTATAATTTTAATTTAATTTTGTTTTTATTTTAATATCGTCATTTATTTTCTAAATAAATAGTAATTTGACACTTTCTCACTGTTCAGATCATAACTTGAGCTACAAGATATCGTTTGATGTGTTCAAATATGCGTTGGAAAGCTGTGAGGATAAGCTACAACTTTTATGTTGAAGTCAGAAGTCAATTAGGAGTGAAAAAGAGTCAAATAATGTATTTTCGTGCCAGACTTAATAAATTAATTAGTTTTGAACCGATTTTTATGTTTTTCGGATCGGTTGCTATTAGGGTCCGGTTTATCTTGTTTATTTAAACAAACTCGCAGCATTAGGTAGAATATTCAGTGTCCATGAAATAAAAATACAGCTATGAATTATATGGATAACTAATCACCTAAGGTTGATCTATTGTTCGTATTTTCACCGAAACTTTATATATATATATATATATATATATATATATATATATATATATATATATATATATATATATATATATATATATATATATATATATATATATATATATATATATATATATATATATATATATATATATATATATATATATATATATATATATATATATATATATATATAGACACACACACATACATGTGCTTGTGTGGGTGCATGTGTGTGTATGTGTCATCATCAAAACCATGTTATCATCAAAGCTAAGCAATTGCCTCTTGAGTCTTGTTATCGATGAGTTTTAATATTTTGGATCACTTCTTAGTTATACTTGCAAGCACATGAATCCACTGTTGGTATGAGTATAATTGTGGATAGATGTGTGACCATGTTAATATTGTCTACATTAAATTCTTCATGGACTTGGAAAGGATTCAAGAGTGCAATTGAGGAGCATCTTGTTTGGTTTATCTCAACTCCAAATTAGCTTAAGTTATTTTATGGAAACGGGACAGATGTTAAGAAGCGGCTGACTATTTCAGATGATTTATTTACACCTTACTAATATTAATTTTATAATATTTGTGCTAAATACATTCTAATATTTCATCTAAATCATTTTCAGACATCATTTTCAGACATGGATCTTCTAGCATTTTATAGTTATTAATGGGTGAAAATGTGTTAAAGACTACACTAAAAATTTACTATGCACATGCTCAACTTTTCCACTCAAACAATCTGACGACTGAGTCGTACAAACTTCCTCCTGAGCACATCATGACAAATGATATTTCTTCACACGGTACGGTGAGCATTGTGAAATGTGGTCGTTGGAGGCGATACCATGGTGTACACTGAAGGATGGCTTAAAGGTCTCGCTGTATGTACCCACATCTACCTGAACGAGTACTATGACAATTCGGGTATCTACATGGTATACATAAAGACCCATAGTTATTGTTCATGCAAGTCCTTCGCAGTGATATTAATATGATATTTGCGGACTATCATGAGATTCTAGTGCCAGAGGATGTAAGCAACATGTCAGCTCCTCGTCCATGCAGTGCGGTATACAATTACATTTCAATAATTTTATAGAGTGTTTCATCCTTACATGACACCAAAGCTAGTAAGAGATCCTAGATCCCATAGGTCAGCTCATCCGGAGTTACTAGAAGAGAAACAAACATTAACGAACCATGACGTGGATGTATTGTCTATATATCACTGTATTGTTACTATTGGTAGAGAGATCATAACTAGAAGAGAGTTTTAAAAAGACACTTTGAAAAGTCATTCTACAAATAATCTTAACAAAGACATGGAATACATTGCAGTATAGGAAATAGAGGAGAAACATGGGCGTTAGACATGATTAATTGGATTTTATGAATGATTGATGTATAGTTTATGGTTAATTGGAGTTTATAAATGATTGATGCATAGTTTATGAATGAGTTATGAAATTTTGATCTTAGTTATTATGACTGATTTATGTGTGATTTATTGTGTGAATAATGTGTGATTTTCAAATGATATGAAAATTTCTTCCTAATTACTGCCAAGAGGTTCATAATATTGTTCCAGAATTTGTCTAGATTTTAAAATTCATATCTACTACATTGTTATGAAATAAACTACAAGGATTTTTGTTCTAGAAATTTGTCCAAAATTTAAAATTCGGATTAAATCTCTAAACAGTGCAAAAGGACATTTTTGGTTTTTTTTAGGTTGCTCATAAACCTCTCTAAAATGTGTCTTTCACATTATGTAGGTAGAAACATCTAAGCACCACCCATATCAAATACCACATATCTAGGATGAAAGTGACTAGTGGGAAAAAGAAGGGATGCTGTTCAATTTTGTGGCTTAGGGTGATTGAGAGAAAACCAGATACAACATGATTTAGAACTGTAAAGTCTAGTTTGCCGACCATAGATTATGCAGCTCAGGTTTTCTAAAGCTACGTGAGATCCATTTACTCTCCAATCATTCAATGCCATCTCTCCACATAATGTGATTTGTCAATTGCATCATAATGTTGAAAATTTCGATGTGATAATCTTGAATATCTTTGAGGAATCGTGTTCGTACACTTTCCGAACAAAGTATTTCGACCCTATTATTTGTCTGGATTCACGAAATCTTTGTGGGAATAATTCTTTGAAGAACAATATGTTTCTGAAATAGAATTTGTTTCTGAAATAGAAAACAAATCAAAAATGTAGAGAGAATATGAATTTTGTTCAGTCCGTAAAACTGAGGCCAAATGACTCCTTATATAGGAGATTAATTAACAGAAAACGAAAAGGGACATCTGTTCAAAATTTTTGAACGGGTTCATCTTTTCAAATTTAATTTCGAACGGGTTCAAAACTTAACAGAAAACTTTCAGAAAACTTTTGCTCGGGACCTCAGCCAGGGGCTCTGCCCCTTGGAACCCCACGGGGTGCTGCCCCGCACCCCGCCAAGGGGCTTGGAACCCCAGCGGGGCGCTGCCCCGCACCCCGCCAGAGGCTCCGCCCCTTGGAACCCCTTTTCAATTATTCGCATTCAATTGTACGTTGACTCGACGAGCGTGCACTCCGCACTACCCTAACTCGTTTCCAAGCTTAACGTATAATTGCATCGGCCTACAGTAAATCACATTACTACTAAAATATATTGATGATACTAAAATCACCAACAGCTAATATTCAACCAAAAACTAGTGGTAGAAACTAGAGTGTTCTAGACTGATTCACATGCTTTCATTTGACACGGAAAAATAGATAAATAGCCCATTCGAAACTTTAAATTAAATTAAACAACCTCTAATGCTTAATTTAAAGTTAAAAACAAGCAATGCTGACTTGATTCATGATCGAATATCAAGAGTGAGACAAATGATGAAGGATAAATGTTAAAAACTTATGGCAACAAGTAATGGATGCTTTATTTGAATTTATGGCTCTCAAGCCTAGGTTTACAGTTACAAGCAATTTATGTGCGAAGAGAATAATAACTCATACATGATAAGATTTACACTAACAAACTCGGAAGGATCCTACAACATAAACTCTTTTACAAGGTTGCAAGAACACTTGACACCGAGGGTGGGAAAAAAATTACAAACTGAAAACTGTCTTACACGGCAACTGGTGTGGCTTCGTCGAGAGCGAGGACACCTGGAAGCTCTTTGCCTTCCAATAGCTCCAAACTTGCACCACCACCGGTGGATATGTGGCTCATGACTTCAGCCACTCCTACTTTCTCCACAGCAGCAACGGAGTCTCCTCCTCCAATAATAGTTGTCACCCCTTTTCCACTGAGGTCAGCCAACTTCTTAGCAATAGCCTGAAAGAAGGGTTCAAAATGTAAATTGCGTAAACAACTGTGGAAAGTAGAAAACTGAATATGTTGAAGTAACTGCACATGATATTTGAATTGTCCCATTTGGAACACTGACTCCTACTCTGTGAACCACAGTCACAGACACGAACACAACACAAATACATAAACACTCATCAATAATAATTTAAGAAAATAGAAGTTATTAAATATAACTATATGTGTCAGACACCATACCCGACTTCAATCTAAAGTGTCAGTGCTACATAACTCCTACTGCATATTTATGAGAGCATGCATCACTATGTAGTGGAGATATTATGACTGCAAACATTTTTAAACTCAAACACTATATGTGAGGGTTCTTGCATACCTCTGTCCCAGTAGCAAACTTGTCAAACTCGAACACTCCCATTGGTCCATTCCATATGATAGTTTTGGTGGTATCCAATGCTTCGTTGAATGTTTTAATAGAATCTGGACCAATATCCAATCCCATCCAACCATCAGGAATGGCAGATGCTGGCACGGTCTGAAAGGGCCAATGCAGAATTTAGGTTCTTGGGGCAAACGCTTTTGAACAAGTAAGAAAATGCATAGTTATAATGTTCATTGTTTATCTAAAGTAGCTTAGAAAACAAACCTTGCTGTTTGCATCAGGGGCGAATTTGTCTGCAATCACAACATCACTTGGTAATAAGAGTGACACCCCCTTAGCCTTGGCTTTTGCAAGTAATGAAGTAGCAAGATCTAACTTATCTTCCTCTACAAGGGATGAACCAACTGAAAGACCTTGTGCCTTGTAAAATGTGAAGATCATCCCTCCACCGAGAAGAAGTATGTCAACTTTTTCTAGAAGTGACTCGATCACACCAATTTTAGATGAGACCTTGGAACCACCCACAATTGCAGCAAATGGCCTTTTTGGGGTTGATACTGCCCCAACAAGGTAGTCAAGTTCCTAAAACATTAAAATATGCATGAGAAATATATTTATTATAAAATTGATTATTGATGAGATATATATTGAACTAAAAACATGAACATTAAGGGCTCGTTTGCTTCTCATGTTTCCAGTTTACTTTTTCAATTCAACTAATAAACATAAGAGAGTATAGATCCAATATTTCTATCATCTTCTTCTTCTTCTTTTACAATTTTTAAAAAACAGATTCAGCATTTTTAGAAATTTTGAAAACGTCAAATCATTTTAAATAAGCTAATGATACTTATTTAGTAGAAAAGGAGAGATAAACCCACCTTTTGCAAGAGAAAACCAGCAACAGATGGCTTCAAGTATTTAGTGACTCCCTCTGTTGATGCATGTGCCCTATGAGCAGTACCAAAAGCATCATTCACATACAGATCTGCTAGTGCAGCGAGCTTTTTGGCATGCTCGGGATCATTCTTTTCTTCCTCCTTGTAAAACCTCACGTTTTCTAGAAGAAGAACTCCTCCGTCTTGAAGGGAAGCCACCAACTTTTCTACTTCTGGACCAATACTGTCTTCGGCCTTAATAACCTGTCAATTGTTCAAATGCAAGAAAAGGGCAACAGTATTGTAATTATCCATCAAACATTCAACAGTCATAAATTATTAACCTTTCCCGTCCTTCAATCCATTCCTCAATAATCATTAACCTATATAAACATACCTCGATTCCAATTAGTTCGGAGAGCCGGGGAACAAGAGGTGCCAAGCTGTATTTGGGAGTGACACCCTTTGGCCGTCCCTGGAAATTTCACCAAAAGCCACAGTGAATCAACTTACAAGTTCAAACCACAATGAATCAATTCTAATCAGATTTTGCAATGTAAAATAACATTAATATTGATAACAGGAGAGTCTATCATGCCTAAGCCTATATAAAAACTACACACTTTATACACAGATTTGCCTCCTTCCAGAGCAAAGCATGCACTTTAGCTAATGAAACATGAAATCACTTAATTGAAAATTCAACCCTTTACATTTCAATAAAACGGACTTACATGCATTACCTAACTATGAAGTTATTAAAATCTACTAAAACATTTCAAAAATCAACCATGATAGCTTCAAACTTAACAATCTAAAGTGCATCCCTTAATTACTTCCCGTCCAAATTAAAACCCAAATACTTCATTAGTAAGAATTCAAGTTCTATCACTATCTTATATTTGCACGTCCTTTTCTCCATACCTCATCATCTCCACAAGCGTATTCAACACCTATCTCTCAATTCAAGAGAGATATGTTAATATCTACAAAACCCATCGCCCATTCTGCTTTTGAACAGATTTTCAGTCCCTAACCCAAATTCAACACAAAGTTTATCAAACTTCATTAAAATATCATTTTATTTAACTTCCCAGTAAAATTTCGATTTCCACCAACATTGTGATTTCCATTAACAAACCAGAAAGGAAAAATAAAACATCTTGATTCACACACAGATTACTCAGATACAGCACCTTTAAAATGAACACCATTACTACTAACTACTCACTAATCAAATTCGAGTTGCTCCTACATGTATCCAATGTCGATGAGGGTGTGTAAAGCTGGCTACCACACAGGGCCTAAAAAATTCCATGATCAGACCATATTAAAGTATGGCCTCATAAAAATATTTGTCACCATTAAATCATGGTTAAATAAGATCTCTAATTGTTGTCAGGCTTGAATCACGACTAACTTATACAGAGTGTCATGCTTGAATCACGGCTAACTTATACAGAGTGTCATGCTTGAATCACGGCTAACTTATACAGAGTCTCCAAAAACTTGAGACGACTCTGAATCATACAAATTTTTACACTGAATTATGAAGCATTGACAATTTAACACTAACACAAAGACAGTAGTAACAATTTGAAAAATTCAAAATGATAGAATCTGTAAAATGTGAATATAGAAAATGAGAGATACCAAGTGACTGGAAAGGATGACTTTAGCACCATTCTGAATAAGATATTTGATAGTTGGCACAGCAGCACGGATCCTAGTATCATCAGTAATATTATTATTATCATCAAGAGGAACATTCAAGTCAGCCCTAACAAAAACTTTCTTTCCTTTCAATTCCGCCGCACTCAAATCCCCCACACTCTTCTTCGCCATGGACACTACACCTCTCACTCCTCTCCCGCTCGCTGTCCTCACCTTGGACGCCACATGCACTGCCAGCAATGGATCGGCAACCGCGAAACCGAGTCGGCGGAGCGGACGGGCGCCGAGGAATGAGGAGGAGAGGTGGACCCGGGAGGAAGATGGGGTTGCGGATGAGGTGGAGGATTTTGTGGTGGGGAGAAGGGAGAGAGTTGTGGGAGCTGTAGCTGAAGCCATTGTAGAGTGAGAGAGTGAAGTGGATGAAGGAAGTTTTTTGAGGTTATGGTAGTGATGTGAGGTGGAAATGAATGGAAGAAAGATGTGGACGTGAAGACCAATGGAAGAATGATTGGGTGTGGTTTGGGGGTTTTGGATTTCTCTTATCGTTGAGGAGAGGTTCTAGATCTTCCTTGCCTTTTTTCCTCATATATTTCCATGCCACATCGAAATCTCATGCTCTCTCTTTTTAAGGTATTATGGTTTAACTTTTACTAGAATGATCAACTTTATAACAACACAAAATATAAAACGAGTACATATAAAATTAATCTTCTATAATATTGCATAAATATTTTTTAAGTTTATTATTTGAGTGGAAAATTAATATCATATATATATCATACAAATCATTTATATAAGGTAATCTCGCTATAATTGTATTAAAGAGAATAGTATGTGAAAAACCAAACACACTTGTCGATAAGGTGTGAGTTGTCCTGTGAAGTTATAAGTTGTTCGAAAAGAGTCATGAGGCTATCTGAGTGTTCACAACAGGCCGTCTAACTAGGCTTCATCTGTTTGAACTAATTCTCGTTGTTTATCTGACCAATAAAATTGGGTGATGACGTGAACTCACAATGATTAATTGATGAGAGGCAGTCAATAGAGAGAATTGTTTCTTCTATTATTATAAGAAGAACAAGTATTCCTTTGACCACTTCTCGGTAGTGGGGCTAAGGAAAAATTGTTGGAAATTCAACCACAATCTATGAAGAATTTTACTCAATCAATCTTGATCTTGGGATTATTTCAATCACGTAATGACAATGAAAGAAAAGTTTAGAAAGAAAGAAAGTAAACGTTGGAGAAGAACAAGATGAACAATTTTCTACAAAGAACTCGCCCACAAAATGTAGAAGTTCTGTTATTTCACTTGCAATTGCAAACTGTGATTTACAAAATATGATGAGATGAGATGTTTACAAAATAAGGGTTTCTCCCTATTTATAGATTTAGGTTAGCTTGCACCCTAAGACAAAACTCAAACTATAAAAGCTCAAAAATATCTAATTTAATCTTTCTAAATCAAATCTAATCTTTCTAAAACGATGAATTACATATTTAACACGCCGCATAATTCATTATGTCTAAACTATATACATTCATCATAGACCTTACCTTCTTGAACACTTCGACTGACACTTCCTTCGTCATGATGTCTGTAATCTGATTCTCAGTTCTGCAGTGTTCCAAGTTCATCTTCCCTTCGTCAAGTTAATAGTTGACATGTTGTCGATCTTCATGGTAATTTCTCCATGACTCTTCGCTGTGATCTCTTCGACCAGGTTCACCATCCAGGTTGCTTGACATGCACAAAGAGAAGCAGTTATATATTCTGCTTCGCATGATGAAAATGACACTACTGGCTCCTTTCTCGAACTCCAAGCAACTGGTGCACCACCTAACATAAACATATAGCCAGTTGTGGATTTTCTATCCTCAGAATCACTACACCAACTAGAGTCGGTGTATCCCACTAACTTGCATTCTTTTTCTTCATCAGATGCAGGTGATCAGTGCATCTTTATGCACATTCTCCTATATTTTTACTTAGGCATTTCTTTACTTTATTTTGATTATTCTTATGTTTTATTATATTTTTATATTTTATTTTATCTTTGGTTTAATTTGATTTTCGCACTTTATTTTTCAGCTTTAGCAGTCTGCACGGAAACGATCATAATTGGAGTTTCGGGAATCCGTTTGAGGCATTCTAAAAATCTCCGGAAAGCTAAGAGAGAGAGCTACGACTTTTATGTTGGAGTCGAAGTCAGATTCGGAGCATATTTTCCCAAAATATTCGTTGAAGTTACATAACTATGAATTTGTTTTAGTTTTGGATCATGTTTTGGGCCTGGGTGATGTTTTCGACCCAGTTGGGTTATGAATTTGTTTTTCTTTTTAGGGGAAACTCGTGTTACCGTTGAATCATAGACTATTCACGAAAAATATTGTTGAAGCTTTGTACGAATTATGGAGAACTAATTCCTTCACGTTAATCTGCTGTAATCGGTTTCCGCCGACACTTTGAGGTTCTTTCAATTCTTCCAATAAAATCTATTTCCTTTCAATTATTCTCTATGATATCTTGCTTAATTCGAATTATCTTAGGGATGATTGATTTATTTCGATGATTGCATGTTCTTATACTTTAATCGCGTTTGCTTAATCCGCGTATGTTTCTCGTGTTTGCTTAATTCACGGTTACTATATTTTATCCGTTTGCTTAATTCGGAAATTAGGAATATGTTTCGTATAATATCAATTGCGCTTTTTTGATTGTTATTATAATCGAAAAGGGAATAGAATCCGCTTAGGAATTGGGAATTATTAGGATCGATGATAAGTTGGGAAACTAAAACAGCAGATTAATCTTTTCAGCTTATTTTGATAATCACTTATTTTCAGTTTTTTTTTCTTAATCAAAAATCCAAATCCCCCATAACTGTTACTTTATTGGTCAATCACTACAAGAATCCTTGCGATACGACTCGAGTCATTGTCGCTAAATTACCGTTTTCCAAACTACTCGTTTTGATCCGCGCGCGACAGCGGATCAAATTGGCGCCGTTGTCGGGGATTCTTGTTGATTTAGCCAATAGTTTAGTTTTAGGTTTAGTTTGTTTTAATTTTCTGCATTTTTGTGTATTTTCTAGCGTTTTCGCGTCCGGCCGTCCTGTTTCTCGTCAGACCAAGTAAAAAAAAAACAGGTTTTGGGCAAATCGCCTTTTTTTTTAGATCTGTTTCGTGAACTTGAAGCAGAAAAATCGTGCGATCAAAAGTCCTTAACTCTAGAAGAGTTATAGGAGTTGGCCCCTCGAATCGTCAATTCCTTTTTTTTTCTTTCTATTTTTAATTAACTTTTTACTGTTTTCACTGTCTCAAAAAAATACAAAAAAAATTCCAAAATTCTTATTTGATCTAATTAGGTTAAATTTTGTGTTTTTAGATTTTTTCGATTTTATTTTAACCATCTCCCTTCTTTGAGTTTGATTCTGACCTACAAGGACATTGTGGAAATTATCGGATTTGTTGCTGCATTTGCAATCCTGGCCATAATCTTTGATGCAATGAGACATCCTATGGAAGAGCATTCAGTGTTTCAGATTGAGTTACTTTCTGACTTAGTAGACGATACACTTCCCGAGTTTTTATCTGATTTCCCGTCTTTACTAGACTATGATGATATTTTCTCCTGTGATGTGTGCACTAACACTAATGTTTGCTCTACTTGTGCCGAGATAAATGATGCATTACAGACTGATATTTTGCAGGTGGATAAGGTTATCGATGAAGTGGTTTGTGCGGTTGAGGTTCTGGACGTTCCTGCTACCCCGACCATCCCATCTATTGAGCATCCCCCTTCTTTAGAACTCAAACCTCTCTCAGAAAATCTCAAATATGTCTACTTAGACATAAATGATGAGCTTCCTATTATTATTTCGGCTAACCTTGATTTCAATCAAGAAAGTAGGCTTTTGCAGGTTTTAAAGAGGCACAAAAAGGAAATAGGGTGGACCTTGGCGGAAATTCCCGGTATTAGCTCTTCCAGGTGCATGCATCGGATTCTGCTTAAAGAAGGAGCTAAATTAGTGAGACATCCCCTTAATCCTTTTATTCTTGACGTGAAAAATAAGATCATGTTCACGTGCCCATTTGACACGTTTACGTATCGAAGGACCTTCTTTGATCCTAGAATAAAAGACGAAGGCATTACTAAAAATTTCAAAAACAATGGTCACTGCCCAAAGCTACTCCATGAGAGCCCCACTTTGGAAGAAGAGACTGCAGAAGAGCTCTCTTTAGGAAATGCTGCTTATGCGATCATCTATCCACCTTGACTCCTCGGGTGTGTCCTTTCCTATCTCTCTTTACTTTTATTTTATATTTCTGTTCTTTCATTGAGGACAATGTATGTTTTAAGTGTGGGGGAGAGAACAATTTATTTGTTTCGTTTGTTTTCCTTGTTTTTGTTAGTGTTTTGTTTGTTTTCAGTCAAATAAAAAAATGCATCTTCTTGAAAGTTTGAGGCTATAGTCTAATTTGAGATTAGTTTACGGAGACCTGGGAAAATTTCACAAGATCGGTATCGTCTTAACACCGTAAGTCTCCTGCGTGTGGAAATTGATTTGAATACTCTTTATGTTTTAGCCTTAAATTTTCATTCTCTGACAGCTCTTGAGTAGTTTATTTCAGCAGTTAGCACCATCTCACACGCACTATACGCAGGGAAGCCGATGAATATAAGTGAGTGTTCCGAACATGAAAAAAAAAGAAAGAAAAAACAAAAACAAAAAAAGAAGAAGAAAACAAATCTCAAATGATAATAAGACTCGTTGTAGTTGGTTTAGCGGTTTTTGGTGCTAAACTTGGTAGGGCAAATTACGATCTAATCCCCCGCAACTACAACTGAGTAAGTAAGGGGTTATGCCACGCAAGTACCAGAACCCCATGCAAAAAGATTCAGAGTCACTAACCGGTCGCCTTGCTATGAGTGTGTGGAGATAACGGGCTTAATGTGATTGCGCCTGAATGAAAAAGAGCAAAAAGGAGGAAGAGTAAGTTAGGCTTCAGCATAATAATATGATTCGAGTTGATTTATATATTCAAGAGGTTTATGACTGCACAATTGTGGACTAGTGTTCCTACGATATCCTTAGTGTGTAAGATTAGTACCTATCGAAGCAAACTTAACCGAAGAAGACTTGTAGCCTGAAATGAGTAACTGTTGATGTGTTTGTGCTTTCTTTGTTTTGTTTTATTTTAATTTTGCTCGGAGTGCAAAAGTTCAAGTCTGGGGGAATTTGATCAGTGCATCTTTATGCACATTCTCCTATATTTTTACTTAGGCATTTCTTTACTTTATTTTGATTATTCTTATGTTTTATTATATTTTTATATTTTATTTTATTTTTGGTTTAATTTGATTTTCGCACTTTATTTTTCAGCTTTAGCAG